CACCAACGAGTGTTAATATCCCGGTGAGACAACGAATTCGTGGCTCAATGGTTAGAGTGTTTGACTTTGATTAAAAAACGTCGCGATTTCAAGGCTCGGGTGGAACACCAGTTGGGTCTCGGTATGACTGGCTGACGATGGCTTACAAGTCAGAAATGACCATTTCAGTCTCCTTGTCTTTGTCGTCAATACTCTCTACCTACTATTACCAGCTATTAGAGTTACCAGGGCCTCTGTCGACAGATGATTCCCGTTAGCGGTCAGATGAGCCGTTATCAACGGATGGCACAACAGCTGGCATTAGTAACGGAGATGGTCGCGCAGCGACTGCCAACTGCCCAACATCCATATCTCTCAGAACAGTCGTCTTCGTCTTTGTTCTATGGCGGACAAATTAACTTCCCTAAGCCCCCACACAGAGGGCTGGCTGACACATGGCATTCCAATTATCGTCCGCTTATCCCGAAGTGTGTTTCTGCCGGCGCGGACCTCAAAACCGGCGCATACCAGTAATTAGCGGTACGCAAAAATCGATTGACTGATTTGACTGCCAATTCACGCTTAGTAGATCCGTCATCACAAGTGGCCAGGCGAGTCCAGTGTGAACCAGTAATCAGCGATGCGCCCAAAAATCGATCGACTGGCCACGTCAACAGAGCAGGCAAATGATTGATCATGGCAGCGCTGGGGGGCAGGCTCCTACAGGACAGCGTGTATCAGCATCTTCTGCGCCTTTTAAAGGCCTCGCGAAATACATGGTCAGGGGCCCTGTTAGCTACTAATGGCAGCAGGCGGCTGGGGTAGCTTTTTGTCTGACATAATAAACTGGCCAAATCGCTAATAATTGCCCATTTCTGCCTGTTCAGTGTGTAGGTAGTTTATCAGCCTGGGAAAGGCGAGCAAATTGACCTTTTGGTAGATGGCATTGTGCAGATGGGAAGGGAGGGAGGGAGGAATTGGGACGCATGCGTTGGGTAAGGAGTAGCAAACTTCTCTCCCTCCCCCCCCCCGCCCTCCTCGCTGAATGTCACCAAGTACACTGCGCGAGGATAGTGTGATCTCCTTAGAGGTAGAAGATGCGATCGTTTCGATTCTGACGGTGAGGGTAGTGGGGAAAGACACCTACATGCATTTATCTCTGATGATCTAGAAAAGATAAGGGGAGCAGTTGGCCGTACTCCAATCTACTCCTGTAACATAGCCTAATCGGACCACTTAAGTGGAGGTAAATTCAACTTAGGCTGGAATATCGGGTTGTAGTCAACCGCTCAGGCATCAAAAATGAAATGGGCTTTACTTTCCTCAAGTATATTCAGGCTGCCTGAGGTCTGCTTACAGTCTGTACAGATGCGCACTTGCTTCTCGCATCCATCGTCAGAATGACAACATAATTAGCATACATGTGGCCTTGTAGACTTCCGACGTGACTGGGGCTTATTAGGATGGCTGCCTAGAATGGGGATGCTCCTGGAGCCACGGGCTTAGTCCACCAGCGAGTCACAAAACAAAGGGCACTCGAATGGCCGTTTCTGGTTTAAATAGCCGTCATCAGCCACTCATACCCAGACCCAAGTGGTATCCCATCCTAGCCTCGACAGAGGCTCTGAGAGCTGTAGCAGCTGGTAGCATAGGCAAAGCTGGACAGTTGAGTTCCATTAGCGGTTGGTAAACGTTCATCAACGAGTGTCAATATCTCCCGACCTAAACCGGCAAGACAAAGAGGTCGTGGTTCAATGGTTAGGGCGTATGAATCTGATCAAAAGATCACGAGTTCGAGGTTCGGGTGGGATGCCTATCGCATGGGGTTAAGTGAGTTAAACCCAGCAACTGCGATCTTCAGACCATGGTTACTTAGTTGAAAAGAAGTCTTGGAAAAGCCAAAGTAGAAGGAATACTTTATTGTGTACACAAAGGAAAAGAGAATAGATTAAAGAAGTTTGACTTGGGAGAACACGACCACCAAGGAGATTGACCAGGTCCCAAGTGCCAGTTTGAGAGCAGTCAGGCCAGTAGACAGAGAGTGAGAGAGAGCGCGTCCATTGGTTAGGTCGGCCTGTGATTGGTTGGACACTGTGTTGGTAAAAATCAACTTGGGTGGCCTGTCGCTCGCGTGCCAGTAAGTTTGGCGGCCGCCACGACCTTGAGGTGTAGACGGATTGAGGTCACGACAGGTAGGCCAGGCATCATGCGGGCAACGACGCACTAGACGCCACTTGAGCCTGGTTATGACTGGCTGACGACAACTAATCGGCCAGAAATGGTCAATTTCGGTGAACGTTCATCAACGAGTCGCACTGCAGTTGTCATGCCACTTTTAAATGCTTTTTTCATAAAATTTTGGTGGCTTGGTAAAGATTGAGGACGGGTGATGCAGGTTGCCTTGTGCTGGAAGCTAACACTCTTTCTAGTGCTCCCAGTAGCACGAGTGTTTGCATGCTGTAGACTTAAAACTTTGAAACTTCTGCTCCCAGAGGGCGAGCAAAGTGAACGGAGTCGATTGTGTTATTTTATGGGCCGGCTGGGAGTTGAAAGGAACTGTAATGCTTTTTCCGCAAGATTATATCTCTATTTGGATGAAGTGAATACACCCGACGAACATGAGGATATTCAACGCGTACGGACGCGTCGGGTTATGCAAATATAAAATTTATCATCGTATCAGTCCAAAAACTAAAATACACTATGAAAACAGCTCTACTTGTATAGATCTTTTCTTCAATCCAGTTTTGTCAGTGGTTAACGTGATGTCTAGCTTAAATTGGAGATACGTTAAACCCCACACAATTGCAGCCGCACTTGATCAATTTTTTTTTTCTAGTCTCGACCATTCCTTCCTGCGCTCCAGTTACTTTTCCGACTTTACTTAAAAAAGAGCTGGTCATTTTTAAACGTATCCCCCAAATGCTGTCTTCCGCTGCTGGTCTATCCTATGTTTTCTCTAGGTAATATCATAATACAGCGACACTTCAAAACGATCAAGCAAGTTGCTGATCGCATCCTTAGTGAGATCGCTCACCGTCTTCACTCTGAGTTAATGGCTGCGAAGTCTTTCCATAATATGCGCTGAAGTTTCCGACCCATGTCTTGCCGTACATCGTCATATCAGCGCTGTATACTCCCATTCCTAGCATGCTACCTCACTTGTAAAGAAACGCAAATTACGAAGTTGAAAACCGACCTGTGTCCATACGTTGAGTGTTCTGTGACCTTTTACCTTACCTCTCTGTGAATGGAGTCATCTTATGCTAAAAATTGTGGGTAGTTACCTTCAAAATAAAGCAGATTTCTCCCTTAAAAAATCTTTGAGCATTCCGTCATTTTTCATCGGTTTGCTTCCTTTCTTGAGTGCATATACCGTCAGCATTTTCCTATTTGCACCTTTTAGGAGTCAGTTCAATGAACCGCCAGCAGGCTGGTCAACGTTCTGTACCACTGGCAACCTCTATGCCCTCTGACATGAATCATTTTCCCTCGCCCGACCGCACCTACATCGACCAAGAGGGCACCGTTCGTCGACTGAGCTCCCTTCAACGTGAAAAGCTCAGTCAGGATTTGATGGTGGTCCAGACTAACGTCCACATCCTCAATGACATGCTCACTGAGCTGCAACCAGACTCTGTCAATCCCGACGACCTTGAGCTGCTGCAGGTGAGTATAAGTTGGGCTTTTATTCTCTGCACACACCAGCATAACTATTTACGCAGATCACTTTATTTCTGAACCTTTGACATTTCAACTGACTAAGTAAGCACCACCCCGCCTTATAAGAGCTGACCTTAAGCTAAATTCCAGGGGAGCTTAGGGGAAGGAGTGTGGTTACCATTACGTTGAGGAGGATTAGGATTAGGGTTGGGGCTGGGGTTGGGGTTGGGGTTGGGAATTGTCCGGCGAAGTTAGTGTAAGTAGAGGACCTTGTATACGTCAAGTGCTAGCATTCTATTGTACGGACCGGTGTTACTATTGGTTTTTGGGTGGAGAAATAGGATTGGCAGTGAAGGAAAGTTGTAGAAGTATAAAGCGGTCGAATGTGGTTGAAATCCTTTACCGCGGCCGCTATAAAGCCATGGTTTAGAGCGCGTACATAGAAAAATAAGCAATAAACAGCACTGAATGAATACGAAGTATTTAAATAAACAGCTCCGCGTTAATTTGTGATAGATTAGAGGTCTATGGGATAAATAACTAAAATGCATATAGTAGTTATTATAGTACGACGAATGGAGTCTACATTTATGGAAGAAAGCTTGAAAACACTGACAATAGTTTAAAAAACACGATGGAATTCAAAGGAGGGTCTGAAATTAATTGTACTCTAATACCTGATATATCTATAAGAAATTTGACAACAGAAAAGTTCTTTTAGATCAAAGAAATAGTATGATTATCATTTCACCTGACGGATAGACTGACATTTGTTGTTCGAATTTGATGTTATTTTTCACTTTCTCGGAATTTGAGGATTCTTTGAAAACTTTTAAATGTTTAAGCAAACAACTGGTACGTTAGGTCTTTCATTTAAATTAAAAATGTGCTACAGAATGTTCATTAGTATTTCAGAGTTTTTGTATATGCGTTAATGCCGCTTTGCAAGTGATTATCAATCTTTCACACATTTTAGTATTTTGTATGAATTTTGTTCCCGAATATATATATATATATATCATCTATACATCATATATATACATCATGTATATCATCATACTTACATATATGCGATAGTGTGGGGCTCACCCGTTGTGCCCTGTAGTTAATTTTAAAGGCATCGCAGACAGTCGTTTAGCGCCTTGTGTTAGAAGGCATGATAACGTGGGACCGTCCCTTTTTCGCTGAACTCTCCTCGTCTGTGGTAATCAAATTTATGTGTATAGTCTGTACATAAAATACGCTATCACAAGAGTTCCTTGCAAAATCAAATAGAAGTGCTCCCAGTTACTGCATTCAGGAGGACCTTTTCCAATCCTGGCAATCTTATGAAAAGGTTTTCGGATTGAAAAATAAGTACGCTTTATCAGTTATCCGAATGGGGGCTTTAAGTACAGAATATGAGACGCGAAGACAGAGAATCGAGTTTTGGTGTTTTCCACTTCAGGGAAAAACTACTTTACTTATGAAAAACACTCCTGTGTGAACGACCGTCAGTTGATGTTCACTGCGCAGATCCGACCAACAAAACCTTGGTCGTACTTTTTTATGCTCTAGTTCTATCCCTACGTCTAAAATGTTCTTTTAAATCCTTCGCTTGAATTCCAAAATTCTTCCATCTATTTGAAAATTCCAGTATGTTCGCCTCTGCTAGTCGGCACACCGTCACAGTGCATGCTTCGGTAGTTAGGCCTCGATACGCACCACTGCATTCCACCCTGTTACTGGACGTGTATCGTGAGTCTTGCCTGTCAGCAATAGGTCTACGACCACCTATGTGTGTAAAAGGGGAAACGTAGCTTTTCAAAGTATTGGTTGCACCCTATACGGTCAAAGCCTCTGCAATAAAAAATGGAGTGTCTGCCTCCAAGTTAACAATGTGCGGGGCAGACCTTACGGCCCATTATCACGCTGTTTTGATTCCACGGGGCACTATCGATCGGTACAAGCCGCACGCGAATGATGAGATCGAGCAAACAACCGACCTTGATTAGTATGTTGCCTTATCACTCTGTCCAGCTCGAAGGCCACTTCCTTCTCTTCTCGAGGTCGCAATCTGATTGGCCCAATCTGTACGCTTTGCTTGCTATAAGTACGCTGTATTAGGTATGCGAAAAGACTTCTACTTTTGCGTTCTTCTTGTTGTGTTTTTCCTTGGGGACTCACACGGGACCTAACTAGACGGTGATATCTCGGCTTTTGGCAACACATTTGCAACACACACAAGTTTGTGCTTCCGATTCGGGAATTCTGGTACTGCGTCGGCTGGCTTTGGCTCCTGCACCAAAATTGACCTTCTAAACCCTCTTGTTCGTCCCTGCTGTTATTCCACTTCGTTGATAGTAGGAAGGTTGAATCGCAGGTGCGAGAATTTTACTCGTCTACTGTTTCGCTTTCATGCTCAAAACTATTATCACAAAATAACAGCTAAAGCCGGTGGTCACATGAAAGTTCTACTACGGCATAAATAACACAATGCATCTTGAGTGGACGAGGAAGTTCGCGTTCCAGGTATTTGTATCGTTAAAGAAGACATGTTATCGAACACCGGATCGAATTGTATTTTATCCTGAGCTGTTGGTCTCCTGCAGGAATCCATCGTCAGAGATGGAAAAACAGCCACAAATGGGGTGACTACTTGCGGCTGTGTACAAATTTGAACGTGTAGAAAATCAATAATTGTGTGTTGGTGCCGCCGACACGCCGCTGTGAACTATGTTAGCCTGTGCCAGTAGGCGAGATCGGCATGTTGGTGGGAATATTTGCAAAAATAGAATCGTCCAAGGAAACAAGCAACATGTATAGGGGAAAGGAACAATTAAAAGTCATAGGAGAGGGGAAGGGGAGAGGGATTTTGTAAAAATTTATAACTGTTAGGCTTTGGTGCCAAATGGCTACGTCAGCACCGAAAATGGGGCGATTATGGAGGATGTTGGGCCAATTAATTATGACGAGCGTCTGGATGTGATCGTTTGTAATAGCGCAAGGCCCTGTACGCCGGTGCCAATTCGACACATCTGTTGACAAAGTTCTCATCCGTGGACCAGGCTTCGATAAATTCTCTGCTCGTATTTTTTGCCGCCTGCGCGAGTACCTTGGCGGCAGCGAAATTAAACTCATGGTCTGTTTCGTAGGTGTGAGCCGTAACTTGTGATAATTCTTCGCCTCGTCGCACGGCCTGCTTGTGTTCATGTATGTGCGCTCCGAGCATGAGTTCAGTTTGGCCTGTGTAATTACATGGACAGCTTAGGCATGGGATGGGATACACTACTCCAGATTATTCATTCTGCGTAAGCCGGTCTTTTATTTTCATCACCCAGCTGCGCATG